TCCATAAAAAAATAATCCTGAACAGAATTAAATGGGCTAGATTACTTCTTAAACTACTTAAGAAATTTAAATGATATCCAGGTTTGAAATCAGGTTCAGGAAAAGTCTATTTAACATTGGAGCCATATGTTTTTTTGGTTTTCAGCTTGAGATTATAATTTTGCCTACTCATCTTTTTCATATGAATTGTATTTGTATGTCTTAATTAGCTAGTTTAGCTACCAGATTCGATAGGTGTTGATAGGTCTACACCAGCACCATCCAGTAGCATCTAGTGCAGGAGGGACACGTTCTATATCTGTGCTGTTCAGTATAGCAGCTACTAGCCATAGATAGCTGTTGAGCACTTGAGATGTGGCTAGTGCAGATGAGAAATTTATTTTTAAATTTTATTTAATTGTAATTCATTTAAATTTAAGTAGCCACATGTGGCTGGTAGCTATGAAATCCGGCATAAATTGGATTGCAGAGAACAGTGTTTCAAATTTTAGCTTGCTGTTAATTTTTTTTCTTAATGCTTTTGCCCAAATCTCTTGATAGCTCTCAGTAGCAGGGGAGCAGGCCTCTTTCACCTTGAAGGCAAAAAGAAGTGACCCAAGATTATAATCCTATCACAAGCACAATTATTTATTATTTGTTACATTACTTCCATCTAAGATTATATTTTTTTTCCTAGGTTTTAGTTACTGTGTAGTCAGTGTGGCTTAGCAGCAAAAACCTACTTCTGTCTAACTGATTGCAAAGACTGATAAGATTGGCTATTGAGGGGAGAACTGCTGGCATCTGTTCTCCTAACAGGTTATGTTTAGTCACCCTTCTCTCTAACCATTCTCCCCCTGTCATATCCAGGGACTTAACTAGAATCTCTATCTTATCTATCACTCTGTGATCTCAAGAGAAATTAAGAGCTGGGCACAGTGGCTCACACCTGTAATCCCAGCACTTTAGGAGGCGGGCAGATCACCTGAGGTTGGGAGTGTTAGACTAGCCTGACCAACATGGTGAAACCCCCATCTCTACTAAAAATACAGAACCTTATCGGGGCATGGTGGGACATTCCTGTAATCCCAGCAACTCTGGAGGCTGAGGCAGGAGACTCTCTTGAACCTGGGAGGAGGAGGTTTCAGTGAACCGAGATGCACTCCAGCCCAGCAACAAAAGCAAAATTCCATCTCAAAAAAATTAAAAAAAAAAAAAAAGAAATTAAGAAACAGCTTCAAATTCTGGTAGTTACACTACTCTGTACATCTATCAAAACTCATTGTATTATATGGGGCTTTAAAAAGAAGGGCAGTTCCTTGCTATAAAAATACTAGGTCTAGGGAATGGAAAAATCTGTTATACAATTGGATTAAGTAAAATCTTTTCAGATTAAAAAAAATAATCATCTCCCATCTCATGCCTTTTGTTGTGTTGTTCTTGGATCACAGTAAAATTGTTTCGATAATCTTTATTACCTTGGGGCTGGGTGTAGTGGCTCACACCTGTAATCTCAGCACTTTGGGAGGCCGAGGCGGGCAGATCATATGAGGTCAGGAGTTTGAGACCAGCCTGGCCAGCATGGTGAAATTTTGTCTCTACTAAAAATACAAAATACTAGCCAGGCGTAGTGGCAAGCACTTGTAATCCTAGCTTACTTGGGAGGCTGACGCAGGAAAATAGCTTGAACTGGGAGGTGGAGGCTTCAGTGAGCCAAGATTGTGCCACTGCACACCAGCCTGGGCAACAAGAATGAAACTCCTCTAAAAAAAGAAATTATGTGTGTGTGTATATATATATTACTATGTTAGAATCCATTAAATCAATGGTCCCAAACCTTTTTGGCACCAGGGACCAGTTTCGTGGAAGACAGTTTTTCCACAGACCAGGGTTGAGGGGTAGTTTTGGAATGATTCAAGTGCATTACATTTATTGTGCACTTTATTTCTACTAGTATTACATTGTAATACATAATGAAATAATGATATAACTCACCATAATGTAGAATTAGTGGGAGCCCTGAGCTTGTTTTCTTGCAACTAGACAGTCCCATCTGGGGGTGATGGAAGATAGTGACAGATCATCAGGCATTAGATTATCATAAGGAGCATGCATCCTAGATCCCTGGCATGCACAGTTCACAACAGGGTTCACTCTCCTGTGCAAATCTAATTAATGCCTTGGTCATCCAACAGGAGGTGGAGCTTAGGCTGTAACTTGAGCCATACAGGGAGTGGCTTTAACTACAAATGAAGCTTCATCTACTGCTGACCTCCTTGCTATGTGGCCTGATTCTTAATAGGCCATGGACCTGTATGGGTGTGTGGCCCAGGGGTTGGGGACCCCTGTTTTCAATGTCTCATTAGAAAATATGCAAGCACAAGTAACATGCTTCTTCGTTAACCTTTGTTTATATATATTTATGGTGATCAGCCTGAACATTAACTAGAGGTAACAAATACAGATAGAAGAACATCTTACTTTAGGGCGGTGTATCATCAGAAGTCTTCCAGAAGTTAACTGAGTTTTATTGTATAGGAACATTTTCCTCATATGCCCCAGAAATTGTTTTGAGAGGAAACAGATAAGGCCTGAAATCTCCACATGAATTACATGAGTATTGTTTTCATCTTGCAGAACTGTGATCTGTCTGGCTGTGATCTTCAAGAAGCCAACCTGAGAGGGTCCAACGTGAAGGGAGCTATATTTGAAGAGATGCTGACACCATTACACATGTCACAAAGTGTCAGATGAGAATTTTAGGGGCTGGAGGAAGATGTACAAGATGAAAATGTTTTCCTTACCACTTTTCTTTCTCCACCCACTCAGTTGTCTAGAAGAAATAACACTGTAAGGAAATTTAAAAAAAACATTTAGAGGATTACGCTTGTTCTCAGCGGTGCATAAGGGAAAAAATTGACTTTTTTTCCATATTCTGATTTTTAACAGAAAAGCACTCATTTAATAGATGTAGGGAAACTAGATATTGCTGCCTTTTGAACGGGGTAGGGGGTTTTACTTGGTTTTATGACCAGGAATAGTATCTATTATATTTGCTTTTAAATAGGCATGATGTGGAAATACCATCTTGGTTTGAGATGCGTTTGAGGATTATTTTAATTTATGGAAAGCACAACATATGCAATTATATTTATTGAATACCTAGATGCAGTACAGATATTTAAATTGTTAAAACTTTATGAAAACTTTGAAAAGGTTGTTCAGGTTTATAAATAGCTTTAGTGACGCCTTCCCTCTTTAAATACCTGTCACACCGTATGAATATGGTGAGATCAGACTCCCTAAGACTCTTTTCAGGTTCATTTTTATAATGTTTACTTTTAAGAACAAAACAGTAGCTAAATTAAAGTAATATCCAGTTCTTACTGATTGAGACAGAGTGAAAAGAAAGACATCATTGTACATCACTCATTCCAAAGGTACAGTGGAACTCCAGATGGAGGAAGAACTTACCTATTACTACAACACTTAAAAATGAGCATTTCTCAGAATTTCATTCTAGGCAAATTCCACTCAACACCAGACCAAGCAATTCTGTCTATTTACACTGTAAGCCTCGTTTTCTCATACAATCAGCACAAACATAGGAAGATACTTCAAAACCAAAAAACCAAGGTGCATCATTAATATTCATTTAATTCAAATACCAAATAGTTTACATAGGGCCAGCTTAGAAATAGACACTAAATCCAGATGTACTGCAATCAAAGCTTACACAATATGAATGAATATGGTAGAGTTGCCTGTTAAAAGGCAATCTAATATAATTGCAGCTAGAACCCTATAGTGAGGAATGAGGAATTTTAAACAGACATTTGATTATAGCCACCAGAAAATACATATAAAGTAAAAATAAAGGCATTTGACTGGTCCAAGATGTAACAATCAGTCAGCACCTGTGATTCTGTAACTTATTTTATTTTTATTTTTTTTAAACAGATGTTAGCCCAATTTTCTTGAGTTGTCATCTCTCTGCAGCAGCAGAGGAAGGGCCTGTACCTCCCTACCATTGACCTGGTGTCCTTACGTCTACCCCAAGAGCAGGGATATTAGCTGTGTCCAAATGGGTTCTGAATTCTACAGACTCATCAACATGAGACAAGGAATCATTGAAAACCACTTTTGTCTCCTTTGGGAGAATGACATATCTTTAGTATTTACGTAGCTTATTCTTCTATATCTACATATGCAAAGCTTTCCTTAACAGTAAAGGGTACATATGCATAGTGGGAGGAGATCAGACCTTTACAAGTGAAGGAAAGCAACTTCAGAAATGAATTATTTTCTTTGCTTTATTATTTTTACCAAGACAGAGAAGTATTGTATTGAGAGATAATCTATTTTCATAATCAATATGTGCCTAAATTATATTTAAATCATTTCACTCTGTACTATATTTTCAGGAATTATAGAATGTGTTGTTCATTCACTTAAAGGTACCTCCATAGAAATAACCTAAAACTGCAGAAGGATCTGAAAGATCTAAACATGGTGTGCTTAGAAACTGCAGGTTTTAGATCTAATGTATACTACATTAATAAACAACATAAAGTGTTGAAAAGGAGTTTCTTCTCTTGCTTTTGAAAATCATCACTTTCTGTATTTTGCTTACATTTCTTCAATACGTGTTGACAACCAGCCCTGTGGTTCTGGGTAGCAAAGGAAATACGGTATAACTTAATTTGTTATGGATTAGTCTTTTTGAAAGTACCATTAAATTTCTTTCTTTAAACATGATTATTTTTATCATTCTTTTTAAAATTCACCATCCTAACACAAACCTTATGAATGCTGAACAAAAGACTGCCTCCCCAAGAATTCATTTAATTTATTTGTGTAAAATTCATCACTCTTAACGTGATGAATATTACCAGTTAGCTTTATTAGACTGGATAAATAGTATGCCCCCAAAGCATTTTTTGCCTGATAACTAGGATAGAGAATTTTAAAGAAGGAGGAAACTGTCAAAATAGTAAAACTTCCATTAAACCTAGTGATGAAACATGTCAGTACACATAGGTAAAAATACAGTTGTTGGGATGACAGGGAAAAGGTTTTAAATCTAAACTGGCTAGTTTATCTGCATTAACAAAATTTGGTACTCAAGTAACTGTCTAAGCAATACTATCTATTGTAGCCTAGTTCTTTCAACTACAGTCTCAAGGAAATTTTAGTAGAAAATCTTATAAATTCAATATTCTTATGAAGAGTTCAATTATAAATCAAATGGAATATTTTCTCTTCATTTTATGACTCGTGTGTACTGTAAATCTGGCCTATATCATCTTTAAATCAGCTTTAATATATGAAAAAAAAACTTGGAATTGCATTAAGTCCCCAAGGAAGAAGTACCTTTAAAATTAAAAGGTTCCTTACTACAAAGAAAAGTAGTTACATTATTTCAGTATAAAGCACCTTATCCAAGGATTAATTCTCTGAAACCCTTTCACAACCTGATTAGACATGTCAGCAGGAATTAACCTTGAGTGCTTCCTGCTGAGATTCTACTTTAGGGCAAGAAAAGATAATTCATTTCTGTTATTTCAGTGAGATTATGAAATCGTAATAATTTTTAGGTGTTTTCATATTGATGAAGCAGTTTTTTCTCTAAAGCCATTCTTTCAAATTTAGAAAAAATATGACAACTATAAAATCTAATTATTTAAACCCAATTATATTTAACTTTTTGGTAAATTGACCTAACCATAGAATCCTTAAATGGTTTAAAGTTTGTCATTCAATATCAAAAACTCATTAATTGCATAGTTGTTTGATAACCTATTTGGTGTTACAGAAAGTAAGACAAAACAAAGTTGACTCTTGCCTTGAGATCTGTGTGACCTAAGACAATGCTAATGGAGACTTTAAGGACATACAGCATAAATATTCATTAAATAATGAATTCATAGACCATGTTTGTGATGGTTAATACTGTCAACTTGGATTGAAGCATGCAAAGTATTGATTCTGGGTGTCTGTGAGAGTGTTGCCAAAGGAGATTAACATTTGAGACAGTGGGCTGGGGAAGGCAGACCCACCCTTAATCTGAGTAGGTACCATCTAATCAGGTGCCAGCAAATATAAAGCAGGCAGAAAAACATGAAAAGGCTAGACTGGCCTACCCTCCCAGCCTACATCTTTCTCTTGTGCTGGATGCTTCCTGCCCTTGAACATCAGACTCCAAGTTTTTCTTCAGCTTTGGGATTCAAACTGGTTTTCCTTGCATCTCAGCTTGGAGATGGCCTACTGTAGGACCTTCTGATCGTGTGAGTTAATACTTAAACTTCCCTATGTATATATGTGTGTGTGTGTATATATATATATGATATATATGATTGATATATGTATATATCATATATATATATCATAGAGAGACAGAGAGACAGAGATCAGTTCTGTCCCTCTAGAGAACACTGACTAATACAATGTTGTTGTGTTCATCTTAATAATTGCAAAGCACTTGTCAAAAATTTAATGCTAACTGATAGAAATAACCTACACGAAATCTAATGAGGCCTACTTACCCAGGGATAAGTGATTCACCTGACAATAGGCGTCACAAGTCTTAACTCCCATTTTATTAGTCCTATCCAGAGACCACATTTTCTGTTTAAGCAATACTTAGGTGCACATCTCTCAGCAAACACAAATCAATCGGACAGTTTAGCACTACTCAACCATAATGAACTCTTGTTGAAAAATAGTCTGTCCCTAGTTGTGTCTTGTAGTGAGAAGAGATTCCAATCTTCATGTCAGAATGGCACCTATATGAGTCAAAATGTCTAAATGAAATAATTTGCATGGAGCAAAGTCAAATACTTATGTTTTATTTTTAAATTATCCTCTATTTGCAATTATACTTTAAAATGTATCCCCTTCTCTATCCTCTTACGAAGACTGGACAGCCTCCACAGAGATGGCTGGACAAAGCAAGGGTAAACTTAGGTAAGACACCATTTCTCGTTACTCTGAAATCCCTGCAAATGTAGTTATTCCAGAGGACACTGGGCAATGACTGATAGGGTTTAGCATCCTACCTGCAGGGAAACTGCCAATTCCAGCTGTAAAATGGACAAATATCCAGTTATTATTTTTTAGCATCTTACAACTTAGCTAATGTAACAGGATTTACAGCCAATTGTACATGAAAGTTTAATTCTGTGTCAGATAAAGCATATCTTTGATGCAGAAATAGAGACAGCATTAGGCCTTATCTGGTTAAAAGGTTTTTGCCATTCATTCATTCATTCAAACCTATGCTTACTGAATACTGACTAAATGCCAGGGGCTTATTAAGAGACATTTAAATAAGATGGGATCTTTGACTATTACAGGTTTCAGCCTAGGGCTAAATTAGGAGAGACAACAAGGTATTCAAATAAATGTAATTAAGAGTAATGGTTCTGTGTGTGTGTGTGTATGTGTCCAAGAGGCTGCATCTCTAGGATGGAACAGCTATAAAATTTTGATAATGATATCCATTTTGCAGGGCTATTGTAATGAGCGCTCTTATACATATGCTATCTATTAAATAACTATAATTTCTCATCTTTCTGTTCCCACTTCCCTTAACAGTGGTTTGCATATTTAACTCAATAAGCATCTACTGAATGAACTGGTCTGTTGATGTAAGTATCCTCAATATGGTCTTGCTCTTGGTATATGTTTCTTGCCTTTTTGATGCTTTAGAAGGCTTTCAAAGTAAGCAGGGAACGTGATGAGTAGACAAGGGAATTTTCACACACATATTATCTGATTTAGGATCCTACATGAACTTGGTATATACTGTCAATAATCACTTATTTAAAAATCAGATTTTTAAAACTGGAAGCAACTCTTTGATCATCTAATCCATCTAGTCTACATCCTTCCTTTTACAAATGAAGAATCCAAGAGCCAGAAGCTTTCAGACATCCTGACTCAATATCCCGTATTGATTGCATAGCCTCCTTTGTGGAAGTTATGTATGCTTTTGACTTTACTTAATCTAAGACATTTATTTTCCTTGAACTCTTGATGGGTCTGCTGGTTCCCTCAAGGGAATCCAACCTAGCTGGATTTTAATCTCTTTGAATTGTGGCCTCAGCTATAAAAGTTTTAGCTGAGGTTTTAATGGCTGCACTTAAGTAAATGTAACAGATACACCAGGGGGTGTTCCAATTACATACACCATTAAAGGGCTTTATGTGAGGATTTGAAAAAATTACCATTAAAAAGAAAGCATAATCCATGTGCAGTATAATTTACCAGCAGGAAAGATTTCAATGTCCTGGAAAAGTTCCCTATAAAAAGGAAGATAGGAAATTAGAAAAGTCACAGTGCTCAACATACTTCAAGGGGATCTTGAAGGGTTTTTGCCTCTAAGAAGCTCTCTGCCTCTAAACAGGTAAAAGTCTTTGTATTATTTCTAGCATGAGTTTTTCTTTTTTAGATTGCATGCTATTGTATGTCTATAGGGCATTTGACAGCCCAAGGGCTAGATCCAGGTGTAACAGTATCTAATGAAGTTCTGTCCTTCACCGTCCTTGCCATCACCAGTCACAGAGATCCAGCCTTTGGGGAATCCCACAGCTTATCAACCAGTATTTGATTTAGTCTTTAGCCTCTTTGCCATCAAATGAAAATTAACTTGGAGAAACATTTCATTAGATAATTTCAGGTCCACTTGGCTAGGAAGGCATCTGGTCTGGGACTAACTACTTCGAACACTGTTGAGTCCTCTCTCCTACATATGGTCCAGCCAGCAGTAATGCTAGGAAGACTGAAGGATAAACAGAAAAATGTCCTTAGTACCATGGGGTAGCCATTTAATGTCAAGCAACTTTATATTAGCCAGATATTCCTAGTAGAAGCTACTTTTCATAATAGATGGCTCAGTTCCCTTTATCTCAGCAATGAAAGAGTTGAAGACCAATCCACAGCAGGAAGAATGTTAAGCCAAAAATGGTGAATTTGATAAGGGATGAATTATGGGGTTTGGATAACCAAACAATAAAAGTATAGTCTGTTTTAGCACTAAAAAGTCCTGAACACGTGAGCTTAAAGTACTAATTTTGTCCCCATTGGCTAAGAAACTCAAGGCAAACCAGCAGGCGTTGCCTTGAGTTTCTGAGTTTCTTGAGACTGTGTTTCAGTGTCTGTGTGTAAAAACGGTGACTGAGTTTCTTGAGGCTGAGTTTCAGTGTGTGTGTAAAAATGGTGACTCTGACTTCGTCCTCTGCAGGGTTAATGATAGAGATGCTAGCCGTTTCACAGAAGAGGTCTTTAGTTTCTACTCAACCTTGTGTGGATCTAATTTGATTGTGCATTCATGTGCCTTAGAATGGAGCTGATTCCAAAACTCCTAGCAGGCCTTATTCTGCTGACTTTGTGTGTGGTGGGCTGCTCCAGCCAGCACTGGTCCTATGGACTGCGCCCTGGAGGAAAGAGAGATGCCGAGAATTTTATTGATTCTTTCCAAGAGGTAAGTTTCTCTCAGCTTCAGAATAAGACACAGCTATTTGATTCAATTTAACTATATTAAACATTCAGGATGAGCCCCAATGGCAACGTTCTGTGATGTTGTACCCTAGATACTCCAGGTGAGATAAGGCACTTACAAAGTAGAAGTCCTATTCAAATACTACTTTCAATTCAGACAGGGACTGAAGAAACAAAAGGGCCAGAAAAATTCCAAACGAATAGCAGCAAGTATGAGATAGTATGTCATCCTCTGAGTGTATTGGAATTGCTAAAGGAATTAGACACGATCCGATAGGATCAAGGTCTGTATCAGAAGATGATTCATTGGGATTTGGAAAAAAAAGTTAGAACTTATTTTTTTTCTTCATTTCATCTTTTAAAAATATCTATGATATTAGATCAGTACATTTGTATAATTTATAAATGAGTATCCTTATCAAGGATGCACACCCTATAATTTCTTTTCACCGATGGGGCATTTAAGCAAAGTTGGAGACTAGTAGAATACAGGAATAGCAAACTCAAGATGATAAAATAGTATGGTGGAAAACATGCTGGATTTAATTTCATATAGGTTAGATTATAGAACGGCACAAACACTAACATGTGGTCCTTGCTTTTTTGTTTTTTGGGGTTGTTTTCTGAGACAGGGTCTTGCTGTGTTATCTAGGCTGGAGTTAAGTGGCACAATCACAGCTCACTGCAGCCTTGACCTCTTGAGCTCAAGTGATCCTCCCACCTCGGCCTTCTGCATAGCTGAGACCACAGGCATGCACTATCATGCCCAACTAATTTTTAAATTTTTTATAGAGATGGGGTTTCCCTATGTTGCCCAGGCTGGTCTCAAACTCCTGGGTTCAAGGGATCCTCCCACCTTTGCCTCCCAAAGCGCCGGGAGGTTTTTTATTTATAAAATATAACCTCTCAGGGTCACGGAGGGAGAGAAGCCATCTTTGTTAGCTGATTAACCCAAAAAATAACCCAGGGCTAAGAATGGGAAAATTTTTAAATCATTTCATTATCATTGGAAAGAAATATCTGTTTTTTGAGAAATACTAAATATAATTTAGTATTTAAGAAGCCCCAGAATCTGAAGCCTCTTTTCTGCAGGTTATACATGAAACAAATCTCATTTAACTATGACATGTTTAGTAAAACCTAGAAAATAAAAACCAACCCTTTTTACAACTGTAAACTCTTCGGGGTTTTTTGGTTTTTTTTGTTTTGGGTCTTTCATGTCTCTCCTGACACTCAAAGCACCTTGTCATCTCTAAGGGGAAAATATGATCTCTTCTTACTGTCTCCGTTATGTCCAGATCCCCTTGCCATTCTGTAGAAGTCGCAGATGGCAGATCTGTGTGCTTAAAGTCCCTATGCTTATCTTACGACTTTCCCAGTCCCCCTCAGCCCCACAGCCCCCTTGACCCCACTCTCCACAATTTTTTGGTGGAAACAGAAAACACCATTTCATTTCCTTATCTACATCTCAAAGAATTACATTCTCTTTCTTCAGATAGTCAAAGAGGTTGGTCAACTGGAAGAAACCCAACACTTCGAATGCACTGTGCACCAGCCACATTTTCCCCTTCGGGACCTAAAAGGAGCTCTGGTAAGTTAAAGTGATCATAACATAGAGCTTTAGAGGTAGACAGGCCCTTGGGGATCACTTAGGATAGCCACCTCCCAGCCACTGCCGGGCTTACATTCTTGACTCCTGTGATACCTCCTGTGGTAGGACTGTATTTCATGGCAATCCCAGTCCGTAAGACAACACTGGCGGCTGAAACGTTTTTGTTTTCTTTTCTGAAGTTGAATTGAAATCTCTCTATAAATTTTATCTGTTAAGCCTGGCTCTAGCCTTTGGGATAACCAACAAAACAAATTTCTTCCCACTGCTGGATTTTAGTTCTTCAAGTATAATCACCAAACACCCTAGACCACTCCTCTCCAGGTGACTCCACAGCCCTCCACCTGATCCTGCTACTGTACTTTATATTACATGGGTTTCCAGAGCCCTGGGGAATATAGACATGAGAAACGCTGATCTAGATGGGTTTTTTTCTCCTTTGGAATGAGAAATGCCAACGTTTTCTGATAGGACTATAACCACCTCCAAATCCCCCCTACCGCAAATGGAAATACACTAAACATATTAAGTTTTTGATGAAAAAATATAAAGAGAATTGGATGTATAAATTGAATCTTTTTAAAAAATTATTTGTTGAGACAGGATCTTGTTCTGTTGCCCCAGCTAGAGTGCAATGGTGTACTCAGTGCTCACCACAGCCTCAACCTCCCAGGCTCAAGCAGTTCTCGAGACTGCCTTAGCCTCCCTAGTAGCTGGGACTATAAGCACTTGCCACCACACCCAACTGGTTTCATTTTTTAATTTTTTGTAGGGATAGGGTCTATGTTGCCCAGGCTGGTCTCGAACTCCCAGCCTCAAGTGACCCTCCCAAAGTGCTGGGATTAAAGGTGCGAGCCACATTGCCTGACTTAAGTTGAATCTTGGATTCAATGTTGATATTCTCCGAGCTCTACTGTCCACTTATTTGCAGCAATCAGAAGGCATTACAGTTAATTACCAGTTATGCCTAGGAGCTGGGAAAGCCCAAATAAGTCATATATAAAAATAAGCTGTAATTTTAATTGTCTCCAGTGACTTCAACTTAGTATGCCCACAAGACAAAGAAAAAAGTGGGCTGACATGTTTATTTCCTTTTTCTAATCTTGCTTATCACATTACAAAAATAGCAAGCAGTGAAATTTGCCAAACATGATCTTATGAAGAAATTGAAGCAAAGGCTGGTTTAATAGCCAAGTAATTGACCGGACTATTTTTTAACTTCCTTCCTCATAGCTCATCCTTAAACTATTAATGTACATTTTATGTATATTAAGTAGCTTAAAAAGACCCATTAGGCTGGGCGCAGTGGCTCATGCCTGTAATCCCAGCACTTTGGGAAGCTGAGGTGGGCTGATCGCTTGCGGCCAGGAGTTCAAGACCAGCCTGGCCAACATGGCGAAACCCTGTCTCTAATAAAAATACAAAAATTAACCAGATGTGGTGGTAGGTACATGCCTGTAATCCCAGCTACCAGAGAGGCTGAGGCACAAGAATCATTTGAACCTGGAACGGGGAGGTTGCAATGAACTGAGATCACACCACTGCACTCCAGCCTGTGGGATAGAGTGATAGAGCGAAACTCTATCTCAAAAAAACAAACAAACAAACAAAAAAACTTATTGTGTCTCCCTAGTACTAACTAGGGTAAAAATCAAACAGACCAATTCCTTCCAGACTGATATTTTGGAAATTAAAATGTCAAAAATGTAATGAAATTCAGCTGGTAAAGTCAACCTTGATATATTTGTTATATATTTTTCAGGAAAGTCTGATTGAGGAGGAAACTGGGCAGAAGAAGATTTAAATCCACTGGGCTGGAAGGAGTCACCATTACTAACGTGACTAAAGTATAATTCTGACATTGACATTTATAACCCACGAAATACCTGTAAATTGTCTTAATTTCAGTAATCCTTATACCAAGTCACACACATTCCATAATAAAGTGCTGTGCTGTGAATTAAGTGGCGTACATGTTAAATCTTTCTCCAACTCAGAACTCTGGGGGAAGGGGCACTATAAGCCCACCAAAGGGAGCCCTCCACGTGTATATACAGGTGGCAGAGGGGAAGGCAGATGAGATAAAGTGTCTGTTATTAACAAAAGAGATCTCAGGCTCCCTCAAAAAGGAAAAGACTTATGCTAAGAAATTTGAACAGGGGCGAGAAACATCCCGGGGAGGGGGGAACCACCCCTTTTTAACGCAAATATTTGCTACAGTACAATGATCAATTTCCCAAATACCTTCATTGGAAGAGTCTCTAAAGTGGAATCAAATAATTTCTTCACTCCGTCTTTAGTAAAATTAGGCAATGATGTGATCCACAATCTGCTTTATGAAACAAAAGCAAAACTGCCTTATTAATACATGTGAGCAAGATGAGAGGCTTCCATTAGCTAATTACTCAGGGACTTTTTTTTAATGAAAACAATATACTTTACAATCTTCACATTACTTAACACATTAACAAAAAGCAACACACTCACTTAACTTACACATCTGCTTGAAGCATCGGATTTCCTTAGCCAAAGTTTGTCTTTGGGACAATTTTTTAGGGGCAGCTGCGAGCCTCCCTTGAATGGGATAAAAAGATGCTCATCCAACTGCCTGATGCTGATGTTAAGAGACTTTCAGGAGGTACCCTTGATTCTCAAATGGTCCAAATGACTAAGGAGTAGGAGGAGAGTGAAAATGGCCCCTGCGGAGCTGAGCGTGGTAGCTCACACCAGCACCTAAGCTGAGCGTGGTAGCTCACACCTAAGCTCATACCTTAGGGAGTTGAGGCGCAAGGCTTGCTTGAGCCCAGTTTGAGGCTGCAGTGAGCCATGACTGCAACTCTGACTAGCTTGGGCAACGGAGCGAGACTCCATCTGAAAACTGAAAATGGTGTCCTTACAGAAATCATAAACTCTTCCCTGAATCTGAATAACTAACTCATCAATGTAGCTTTAAGGAACAACAACAAAAAAAAAACCCCTAAGCCTTTTATAATAAAGGGTAGGGAAATATATCAAATGATACATTTAATGAAATGAGTTCTCAAATGTGTATGGCTTTAAATGATCAAGTAGTAAAAAGAATGGTTTGAAAATAGTTCTATTATAGCAAAGCTTTTAGAATTTGCAGTACCTTACAGATGATTACAAAAAAGCCAAGAATCACTACATAAGATAATAGCACTTAGATCTGGACAGAGAAAGACATAGTATTTCTCTATGGAGATCCTAGAGCCAAAAGATTACCCAGGTCTGCCAATTTAGTATTTAGGGCCCAAATGCTAGGGTGTTTTAAAGAAGCAGTGATTCTTATAAATTACATGAACGCAGTGAAGCATTAGTGCTTCTAAAAAGCAAAGCACTGGAACACATTTTTTTTTTTTTTTGAAATAGGATCTCACTTTGTCACCCAGGCTGGAGTACAGTGGCATAATCATAGCTCACTGCAGGCTTGACCTCCTGGGCTCAAATGATTCTCCCACTTCAGCCTCCCAAGTAGCTGGGACTACAGGCATGCATCACCACGCATAGCTAATTTTTATTTTTTGTAGAGATGGGGTCTTACTCTGTCGCCCAGGCTGGAGTGCAGTGCCATGATCATGACTGACTGCAGGGTTGACCTCCCAGGCTTAAGCGATCCTCCTACCTCAGCCTCCCAAGTAGCTGGGAGTATAGGCATGCACGACTGTGACAGCTAATTTTTTAAAATTTTTTGAGGAAACAGGGTCTCACTCTGTCACCCAGGCTGGAGTCCAGTGGCATGATCAGGGCTCACTATTGCCTCGACCTCTGGGGCTTAAGCAATCCTCCTGCCTTGGCTTCCCAAAGGGCTGAAATTACAGGCTTGAGCCACCGCTCCTGAACAGAACAGGAGTGGTATTTTTTTTTTCCTTGGGGGGAAAAAATCATAAGCATAAGCTCAGGACTAAACAGTGGTGCTAATAAAGGTGTGACTGCCCCTTCCCTCTTTCCAACTTGACCCACCACTAGCAAGGGATTTTATGAAACACACCTTAAATACCAATTTTCTGAAGTCTTATTTCCTTTATGTGGTGGTTTTTCAACCTTGGCCTAATACTGGAATAATATGGGAGGGACTTTAAAGAAATATGGATGCCACGATCTTACTCCCCATCCTCAGAAATGCTGATGTAATTGGTCTGGGAGTGGCCTCTCCCCAGGTGATACAAACATTTAACCATTTTAGAACCAGTTCCTATCATTTTCATCTAACTTATTTCATGTAAGATATCCCCTTTAACCTTTTTATTTCTCTCTTTACTTGTCTAAATATCTCTGAGGAATGGGTAAAGAACAGAACCTATGTACATTAAATGAAATGCTATCAGAAAATTGTCATGCAGGATGGCAAAAAAAATAGTTGGAAGGGGTGAAAAGAACCAAGTGGTTTGTAATTTTTCTTATTTCTGAGCAAAGATGACTCTGGGACCCCACAGTGCAGGTTTAACCTAACAGGACCTGTAAGGAAACAAGCCAGAAAAATGCTGGGTGTAATGTGTTGTGAAGGAGGCATGGATAAGGAAAAACTGCAAAGTTTAGGAATGAGTTCATTTCATTAAAATAAGGGCAATAACAAACTAAACACACAATAAACTTTAAAATACATTTCCATTTTTAATTTAAAAAATAAATAACAGCAAATCTGAACAAAATCTTCCTACTTCAATGCACATCTTCTTAACTGTCCATGTTTGAAACCCAGCTAGTAACAAAATCATGGCAAAGGCATTTTTGACAAAGTTTAGATGAACAACTCACAAAATATGGCGAATAGTTGAATTTGAACAGCTGATACTGCAGATCAGCCTTGGCTAGATCCTAGGCGTCAGAGCGAAGTCCTGAATTTCCTTTTGTAGATTAGAATTGATGGTTTGACTCTCAACCCACCCAAACAGAAGCTTACCTTTTCCAATTTAATTGTAAAAGCCAGACACTGCAACTTCTGACTCCCTGGTTCAACAGATTCTCCTAAATTCTCAGTCTCCCCAGTAGCGGTGATTACAGGCATGTGCCACCATGCCCAGCTAATTTTTGTATTTTTAGTAGAGGCGGGGTTTCAGCATGTTGGCCAGGATGGTCTTGATCTTCTGATCTCATGATCCGCCTACCTCAGCCTCTCAAAGGATTACAGGCATGAGCCAAAATTAGAAATCAGCCAGTGACATAGGGGCAACTAGAGGAGAAGGACTCTTTCAGCTTGCAAAGAGTAAACAAAGGTAGATTGTTGTCTCAAATCCTGCTTTACATCTTCTTTTTCCTTATGAATTTGCAGCGTGGCTACAGTTTTTAATGGGTTTTCCTGGCAGGAGAAAATGACTGCAATTCTGGAATCAAAAGGTTAAGGTGAAGCAGGAGGAAGCACCCCATGGCCCAGCAATCTTATTTAGGGTTTCATTTTCATCTGGTACCACTCCAGTTCCAATCCTACTGCACACCAGAGTGAACTGTCTTTGTATATTTGAACACACTCAACTGCTACAAATCAAGGGCGAGTACAGTGACTGGCATTCCATAAGAACTTGATATATGTTGAATAAAACAATTCTTTTTAAAAAGTCTCAAAGCAAGACAAGTCACTAGAACACAGATAGAGGAAAAAAAGATGTAAAAACAACACCTCCAACCATACACCAGTATTCACAAAAGTGGTGGTAATTTTAGGGCTCATTTCAATGTCTTTCAATGCTCTAGAGAGTTCTTAGCAAGAAAAACAAAGATCAAGTCTCTTTTTTCCTCCCTGCTCCTTATCTCTCTATATTCAATGTAATCATGAGGTGTTTCTTTGCAGTTCTTCTCTTTGACTTCAGGACAGGCATTACTTATAACTTTTTGTCAAATTTGACTTCCTACCCAACAGTTTCCCCAAAAAATGAACCTTCCATCATCTGCTGTAATCTCTTAGTCACAACACTTCCTGGAATCCCTTTTGTTCAGGCAGGAGAGAGCTATTATTTCCATTAAGGTAGAAAGGGAATCATATGGAATAACATGTTCTATTAAAAAAAGAAGGTATCCAGATGTATCCTAGCTTCCCAGCCTCTGCTCAAAGACCAGGCTGTGGGATTCACTTTTACTGCTGCGGAAGGACAGCCTTGAGGTTTGTTTTTTTTGGTGACCCAGTTTATATCTTTCTATTTTAATGGCGGCCTGTAAAATAGACTGTGGTACAAATGCCCCCAAGCCGGTCTGCTGAGTGACTTCTCAGAAGTCGTGCCAGGCTCTAGGTAAGCCCTACCTGTCCTTTCTGTTGGCTCCTCCTTTCTCTACAGCTTAAGTTCTTTCCATGTAAAATCCTCTTGAGTTCTTATTAAGTTTGTCTCTAGTCATAAATAATCATGTAAAAGACTCCAAAGGAAACCACCACTTGGAGAAGGACCACATGTGCAGAACTAACTGGCACTCACATTCCAAACTACCTTGGAAGAAAAAAAAAAGTATCAGTAATGCTCTTAGAAAGTTCCAGTTCTTACTCAGGCCTAGCAGAGAAAAGCAAGGACCATCATGTGAGTCTCTCTTCCCGTATTTCATCTCACTAAAACCTCACAGCAACTCACGCAGGAGGCATTATCCCCATTCTGAAAGGTAACAAAATGAAGATTCTGATAATCTCAAATAATTTCTGTTTGTTTGCAAAGTTAATAGATGTCATAGCTGAGATTTGAAACCAAATGGGTTTAATTCCAAAGCCAGTCATGTTTCCATGCTAGCACACTGCAGGTTCTCCTGGGTGGGCGTAAAGGGTCATCTTTTCCACACCCCTTCTAAAATCTGCATACGCATTTCTGAAGTAACACCCTGGACACATCTGAAAGCTTTCTGCTTCCTTGCCCTTTGTGATGAACTGAAAGGGTGGCGGTGAAACAGGAAACAAAGGGAATCAGGCAGGCAAATGCCAGCTCTGACAGCGGAAATCTCTTTCTCTGCTCTCTTCACTTCCTTAGTGCAA